CTTCCCTGGGTTTGCCCTTAGGACTGGCCTGTGCACAGGAGCGCAAAAACCTAGCTCTGCGAGGCAGGGAAGAGGCAGGGGGCAGGGGATGCTCTACACCTACAGTGTGACAGGATGACCCCTCTTTTAAGTAATTATAATGGATTATAATGGCAGTGATTATAATGGATTGGAATTTGTTGTTGCTTGTTTTGTCTATTTTTTAAAATTGAAATGCCCCTGAATACAATGTATTATATTAGAAGATTTCATCATGTGAAATCATGTAAGCAGATAAATGGTATTTCTATGAGCCAGCCAGAGTAATCTCCATGCGTGGGGAGATGTGATAGAAAGTAAGCTTTGAAACTACGTGGACTCATGTCCAGAGAGAAGTAGGCATTTCGAGTATGTGAGCTAGGAGTGTGGAAGATACAACATGTTATCTCAGACCATGTCTTATGTCTGATGCATTATGAATTAATGAAGCAGTAAGGAGATATCCACACCCAATGGAAACGCCTACTTTAAAAACAGTGTTATTCTAGCTCTATAACTCCTATGGGTGTGGGGCACATCACTCAGCCCCAAGTGACCTGCCACATGGAGGAATCGGGTCAGTAAGCACAGGTCCCACGGGAAGGCCTGTGGGGGGAAGGGGTTTCTCCACTTGGCCTTTGGGTCAGAAAGAGACCTTCCTGTGCTTACGTGGGAGAAGAACCTAGGACCAGACAGGTCAGAGTCCCAACTCTGGAGAGTCAGGTGTGCAGAGTTTGAGGCAAGCAGTGAAATAAGTAATTTTCAAAAGTGGGAGGGAGGAGTGTGTACTCTGAGGTGTCAGGAGGAGAAACCGCCAGAGTTCACAGAGAGCCTCACCAACAATCTGTGAAAAACCTGCCCATTTCCATCAGGTAAATAAACCTCTGAAATGGCAAGCTGCTTAGGGAACACGCTGCCCCTGAATGCTTAATAAGAATAATCCTGAGTTATTGCTGCAGCTGGTCAGTTGCTTTTAAAAACAGGAAAGCAATGCTTACTCCTGTTTTCCAACAAACAATGAGGTGTGCCCACCCTTTCAGGGCTGGCGTGGAGCTAGAGGGAGTGTGTGCTGCCGCAGGCCTGCCTCAGCCAGACCTGCACATCTGGGAAATCACACAACCCACCTGCTTCCACCGCATCATTCAGACAAAGGAAAGAGAAGCAATGTGTGGTGTCCAGACCAGACACCTTACACTTCTTTTCCAGGGATCACGTGAGCGTGGGAAAGAAATATGCTCACGTACATGCACATCCTTGAGTCCTATCTGATAGTCCTAGGAGGGGGGATGGCTCATCTCCTCCTTGAATGGGCAGCTTGATCTGGGGAATACAGGAAGTTCTATCGTTTTAGAGCTGGAAGGAACACTTGAGAGCTCCCTTCAAGGGCTGTGATTGAAAGAAGAAAAAGCAGAGATTCCCTGGAGCCCAAGGTGAGGGGAGGGACTCCAGCCCTGGCAGGCTTGCCCACCAGCCTGGCCTCTCCTCTCGCTAGTTCTCAGCCGACTCACCGGCCCTCATGCTGGGCCCAGCTGATGGTGGCCGAGTACCAGCTGCCTAGGAGAGACCTGTACGGGGTAAAGTGAGGCATTTACTTCATGAAACGCGGGTCCCTAACTAACCATTGCTGTGCTCAATATCACTGCAAGAGACACGTTGTTCTAGTTGGTTGTTGAAATGAGTGGCAAGAAACTGTACTTACCCAGCAGGCTTTTCCCCTTGCTCAGCTTCTGAATCCTGCTCACTTCATTCTGGCAAGGGAGACCTGCAACGGAGCGTATGTAAGTCAGGGACCATCCCTACTGACTGGCCTTCCTCCTGACAGGAAACACAGACAGCGGCACACCTTGGAGCGGGTTACTGCACCTGTTGTTACTACGCAGCAAAACAAATCCAGGCCAGAGTGTTACTAATCAAAAATACAAAACTCATACCACGAGGTACTTAAAATAGTACTTGGGGCTCCTTGACCAGAAATTTTCTTCCCACCACCATCTCAAGCAAATACCAGGGGTCTAAGAGGTGATTTGCTAACAGACTTTCCATAGGGAAGTCAATAATGAGCTGAGGACTGACGCTTCCTAGTGGGCATGTGTTCAGAATCCACACACCAGCTAACCGGAGGGAAGGGGCAGACACTGCACCGATGCCGGGTCGTGCTGTGGAGAGGAAACGGGGGAGACTGGACCTCATGGCTTACTACCCAGGAGAGTACAACAGGCCTCGCAGGACAGTTACAAGGATGCACAAGCCATCCGGAGAGACAGTGAGCATAACTTTCAGCTGGGTGCTTTGGGCACGTGTATCAGTCTCTGAGCCTCAATTATAAAATACTAGAGGCCCAGTGCACGAAATTCATGTGTGTGTGTGTGTGTGTGGGGGGTCCCTCAGCCTGGCCTGCATCCTCTTCAATCTGGGACCCCTCGGGGGATGTCTGACTGCTGGTTTAGGCCCAAGTTGGATCGGTCCTAAACTGGCAATCGGACATCCCTCTCCCAATCTAGGACCACTGGCTCCTACCTGCCTGCCTACCTGATTGCCCCTAACTGCTCTCCTCTGCTGGCCTGATCCTCCTAACCACCTCTGCCTCGGCCCCTGCCACTGTGGCTTTGCCCAGAGGGACATCCAGTCTAATTAGCATATTACCCTTTTATTAGTTTGGATAGGCTGTTATGAGCAAGCACAGAACCATCAGTTCTCCATGAGGGAGCCACATAGCTAAGCAGGGCATATAGAAGGGTGTCACACTCTTTTACTCCCTAGAGAACTTTCTTCCATTCAAGCCCAAAGAAAGGTGACCTCCCTAGTTCTTAAGACTTCCCAGGACTCACCTGTGCAGGTCCTGTGCCTCTGGGAGGCCGTGCAGGTCCTCATGGTCCTCTGGGCACAGACAGAGGTACTCTACTCCCCAGGGATCTGGACTACCTCTAGTGCAGGTGTGGGGCCTGGACAGCACCTGGTCCCATCTATCCCCCTGCGGGTCCCACAGCACCACCAGGCCTCTAGTTGTTCCCTGAGAGAAACTGGCTTTAAAATACATTGTGTTTACTTCTGGGTTTAAGATACCAACAGAAAACAACAAAGAAAAGGGAAAACAAGTTCCATCTGTGATGATTAAAATTGGTGTTTACTGTGATAAATAAGGAACATTTACTGAATTCTTAGAATGTACCAGACAATGTCCTAGAACTTTGCATCTTCATTAGTTTAATCTTTACAACAACCATGTAAGGCGCTCAGCAAATGGACTGCGCCTCTCTCTGACGAGCAGGACGGAGCAGCAGCCGTGGGCCCTGGAAGACTGCCCTGGAGAGAAGCAGGAAGACCCACCATCTCAGACAGTGTCCTTGAAACAGGATTCACACTGTAAGGCTTCTCCTCAAATTGTGCGGCAGTGATTTTAAAAATTCTACTTACTGAGAGGTAAGGAAAAATAAATCGGACTGAGACCTGCTAAACATCGCTTCAGGAAACAGAGGAAAGAACAAAACTCCAGGTGAAGAGTCGCCACAGAACAGGTTTGCTGCTGAGCCGGTGAAAGTCAAAACCCAGATCTCCCTCTGTGGTCAGGGGTTCTCACGGAAAGGAGACTGTAAGGCTAGGGTTTAATGCACAGATACAAAAGGGTCAAGGATGAAAGTGACAGAGAAAGAGGACAACGAGCAGTAAGAGAAACAAAGGCTCTGTCTGAAGCTCCAGGGTTGATGCGCAGCGTCCACCTGCAACCAGTCCTCCGAGAAGCGGGTAATCCAGTGGAACACAGTATTGCTCAGGGAGTGATGTGGGCCGAGAGAAACTGAGACATGTCCTAGGAAACCCGGGCCTTCGAGGGAAAGAATCCTTTGGCTTCCGGGCAAATGGTTCTACCACCCGGAAAACAACTGGTATGGGTTCCTTTTATTCTGCAGTGATACCCAGTGCTAGGAGAATGTTTTAACAAGGTATCAAGAAAAAAAACTGTAACTCCAGGAAGTTTATGCTTAGCATCTTTGTTTTTGTATAAAAAACAAACATATTTTCACATGGACTAATTCAAAGAATACATTCCCCATGAGAATTTTTTTTGGGAAAAAGTCTAAAACTCAAACTCAGTAATAAAACTAAAAAGGATAATATCAAAATCAGTGAACAAATAATCCTACCACATGAAAGTTTAAAAGTGGCTCTAACAATTGTCTTGGGCCAAAGAGGCACTGAGATCCTTCACTGTAGAACTATCTACAAATTAGCCATAATGGAAACACCAGACATCAATACGGAAGGTCTACAGACCAGGAAAATCTTTGAAAAAAAAATTTAGCCTCAAGTACATAATAATGAAATGTGGAAGGTAAATGAAAACCCCAGAACTGGTTCTGGGTCAGGGACGGAGATGGTGGGGACCTAACAAAAAAGAAAGTAACTTCCTAAAGAAAAAGACCCACACAAAAAAGAACTTCCACAAATCACCTTGTCAGTTCACCCTGCGCAGGTGTGGGTCCTGCTGCGGCCCCGCCCTGACACTGCAGGTCCAGGGGAAGCGTCAGCATGGAGACTGCGCTCACCAGGCTGAACCTGAACCCTGGCTACGGCCGCACGACTTGGTAGGAACTCAGGCCCAAATCTGTCACTAAGCTTCATGCT